TACCAACAGCAAGCATTAAGAACAGCACAGACACACCAAAAAGTCCTCTGGAATATAAATCCCGCCACTACATTTTTAGGATCTAGTTGACTAAACTGGTAAATTCTAGTTTGTCTTCTCCCACTTCCCCTTCCTAACATCTAGTGCTTCCCCTTCACCTCACATGAAATATGGTCCAACATCTTTCCAACTGTCTGCACTGATCCCCTCTGAAGCTGTTCACTGGCTTCTTGCTTCATTATTAGACACTACATTTGAGCTTCTTGCTGTTGCATCAAGGTATTCCACAATCACAGCTCTCTCTCTACTTCCTTACTTCACCCTCCACTTTGCTACATCAGCAGTGTCAGCTTCCACATTCTACTACTCCTTCTCCCTCAGCCATTCCCACATATTCATACCTGAGCCATTGTTGTTAATGTGAAGTCACATTAAAAATCAAAGATGGTCAAAATTAAGCTTCTTAGATTACACCCCCAACCTTCCTTCTTTTCTGTCAAAATGGATACTTTCACTGCCCTATGTCATTCAGGCCTGCAACTGAGGCAATTGCTACACAATCTCTTTAGAGCAGGGGTGGGCAATATATGGCCCTTGGGCCATATACGGCCCACCAGGCACTTTCATCCAGCCCACAGCATTCACCAATGAACTGTGCCCTGCCCAGCCCTTCAACTCACAAGGGTGGGAGCAAGTCACCCATGCATATGCACACTTTGCAACATACCCTATTGTGCCTCGCTCCCACCCTCATGGGCAGAAGGGCCCAGCCCTGCCAGCAGCAGCTTCTGGTCAGGGCTGCTGCTCCCCCATGGGAACCTGCTTGCTTTCCAGGTGTCCAGCTTGATCTGGCCAGCAGGCAGGGAAGACCGTGGTGGTGGTGGCAGGGGCAGAGCCGGCAGAGCTGCGGCTGGGTGGGAGCGCAGAGGGCAGCTTAGAGCCCACACCTAGAGGGGCAGCAGAAGCTCAGAGCTTGGCTTGGCAGGGTATGGGTGCGAAGGAGGTTGGAAGGTGTGGGGACCTCCCACACACTCCCCAACATGGTGCGCAGCCCCCACTGCTGGCAGCAGCAGCAGCAGGCACGGGCTCTCAGGTGCTCATGCCAGGCACAGGTGCTGGCACCCAGCAGGGTATGGCTCCAACCAGCACCACGGACAGTGGGGTGAGGAGTGCAGCCACCTCTATTGCACACCACGTGCCTGTAACTCCCAAAACTCGCACTGTGGAAAGCCCCACACTGGAGCCAGCTACCTTCACTGCCCCTTGCTGCACAGGTCCCCAGAGTCCGCTAGGAATGGAAGGAGTCCCCATCCCCTGTTTCCCCGCAGAGTCCAACATGGGACTTCCCCCAGTATGTGTGTGGGAGCTGCAGGCACGCAGCGTGGAGCCCCTGTGATAGAGGCGGCCAGGCAGGGTGTGTTCCCCACCCCCCACTCTCACATGCAGCGCTGGTCAGAGCCACACCCTTTTGGGCACTAGCACTGGTGCCGGGCATCAGTGCCCTGAGCCCCTGCTCCCCTCCTCTCCCCCCCGCCCCCCCACTGCCAGCAGCAGGGGCTGCATGCCATGTGGGGGAGTTTGCAAGGGGGCCCCACAACCCCCATCCTCCCTCACACCCATACCCCACCCTCTGGAACCAGCATGTGCCAGAAGGGGGATCCATGGGTCCCTCACATGCCGGATCCAGTGCCGCCAACTCTAGCCAGTTCAGGATTGTGTTGCAGTGGTGCCTACTCCAGAACCCATGCTGCAGGTGTTATCTGCCCCAGACCAGCTGGAACAAGCACCACACATGACTTGCATCCTCGACCAGCCAGAGCAGGAACTGTGGGCACTGGTTCCAGTATGTGTGGGGAAACAGGAGGGGCCAGGGAAGACTCCAGGCCCAGTCCAGTTTGCAGGGTCAGCCCCACGCCATTCATCCAGCCTATAGACTATCATAAGAACTACATTTACTGGGTCAGATAATACTGTATCCTGTGTTACACAGTGGTTGAAACTGGATGCTGAAAGAGGGAGTTAACAGAATATAACCAGAGTATTTCACCAGTTCCTCTCCAACTTGCAACCTTGAGCATTTAAAACCTAGGAAGTTCCGATTCAGAGGCTGTATCCCTAGCTCCAACGCTCAACAGCTACTAAGGCACCTTTCCTCCAAGAATCTGTCCAGTCTCTTTTTGAATATGGTTACATTGTCAGCTTCTACATCATCATGTGGCAATGAGTTCTACGCTTCCATTATACGCTGTGTGAAAAAACTTTCTTCTGTTAGCTTTAAACTGACTACCTACTTGTTTCATGTTGTGATCCCTAGTTCTTGTATTGAGAAAGACTGTAAATAATAAATTCCTGTACAATGTCCCCCCTCAAGCATCTCTTTCTAAAACTGAATAGACCCAGGCTCTTTAGTCTCTCCTCATGTAGAAGCCCTTCCAAACCACTAATCATCCTTGTTGCCCTTCTTTGTACCTTCTCTAATCCTTCTATATCCTTTTTGAGGTGTGGATACCAAAACTAGGCACAAGTATTCAAGATATAGATGCACCATGGGTTTACAAAGGGACATAATGACCCTTTCTGTTTTGTTCACAATTTCCTACCTAACAATCCCTAATATTTTATTTGTCTTTTTGACAGTCCGCCTTGGTCTTTAAAAATGTGAATAATTGTGTGTCATCCAGAAATGTGGCCACCCTTCTACTCTCCCCTTTTTCCAGATAATTTATGACTATGTTAAGCAGCACCAATTCCAAAACAGATCCCAGGGTGACCCATCTTTCCATCCCAAACACTGACAATTTATATTCACTCTTTGTTTTCTATCCTTAAGCCAATTTCTAATTCCTGAGTGGACCTTCCCTGTAATTCCATGACTACCTAATTTCATTACAAGCTTTTGATGGGAGACCTTGTCAAAGGTTTTTGGAAGCCTAGACACACTATATCAACTGGATCGCCCTAATATTCCTGCTTACTGACATCCTCAAAGAACTCTAGTAGGTTTGTGAGGCACAATTTCCTTTTGACAAAACCATGCTGATTTCTCCCCAGAAAGTCACGTTCATCCATGTGCTGAACAATACTTTTATTATTTTTTCCACCAGTTTTCCAGGAACGGAAGTTAGACTCAATGGCCTACAGTTCTTTGGGTCCCCTCTAGAGCCCCTTTTAAATACTGGAGTCACATTAGCAACCTTCCAGTCCTTTGGTTTTCAGTGATAAGCTGTATGTTACAGTTTGAAGTTCAGCAATTTCCAATCTGAGGTCCTTCTGGAGCCTAAAACAAATGCCATCAGATCCTAGTGATTTGCTACTGTTCAGTTAATCAATTTCTTTCTACAACCTCATCTACTGAAACCTCAATTTGGGTCAGCTCCACAGACTTGTTCCAAGAGAGGATGGATCTGGTGAGAGAATCTCTCTAACATCTTCCATGGTGAAAACAGATGCAAAGAATACATTTAGTTTCTCAGCAATGGCCCTGTCATCCTTTTGTGCTCCTTTTACATTGTAATCATCCAAAGGCCCAAAGGGCAAGATAAATCTGACGTCCCTATTTCAGGCAGTTTTAGTGCCCAATGGGCACTCAAGAGATCTGGATTTGATTCCCAGTTCTTATACTCTATTTCTGAGACCTAGAGCTATGTCACCTCAATTTCTCTAAAACAGGGACAAAGACAACTTCCTCACTGGGAGATTATGAGGATAACAGTCCTTTATGGACAAAGACTGTGGAGACTGAAGTCACATCAGTAACTAAGCAGGTCAAAGCCCACATAGTGCTGTTCCTACAAAAGGTTTTTTTACTACTGTGCCACCAGCTCCTAAGCCCTCAAGATAATATTTTTACCGGATAAAATGTTGTATCTGTATCTACTCAGTAACTCTTTTTGGTAATTTTAGGTGCTAACCAGGCCCTGATCTATTTCCAGCGGCCTAGCAGCCAGTCCAGGGAAAACTATGTATAGAACAACAGTACAATTATGTTTGTCTTGAACTAAGAATCAAACAAAAAGGAGACTAAACATCACAGGCTGCAGAATAACACATTCAAGAGCTATCCTAAACATTCACATGCAGGTGCCATGACCACAAAGAAAATGAACACTGGAAATAAAACATTCAGAATTAACACACTAGATGGGGTAAGGGGACATTTGGCTAAGACTGCTGCTCTGAGAAAACAAAGCAGTAGCTGTAGCCCATTGCAAGTACAGCCAGAAAAAAAAACACATTCATACTAAATAATTTATTCAATAGACTGAACTCTTCTCAGACAGTAAGTTTTCTGCAAAGCCTTTTTCCTAAGGGCTTTTTTATTCATTATTCACAGTTGCTCAGGCACACTTCTTTGACATGTGATTAACAAACACTATGTAAAAGATTACTACACAAATACTACACAGAAAATAAAGTTAAGAGCAGCCTTAACCCACTACAAAACTAACAGGGCTGTTACAGGTTACTTTTAAACCATTCTAAATCTGTGGCATGCTAGAAGTTAGAACAGTTTCAGAGCAGTTGCAGCTTAA